CCAATCTGTATATAGGACATGATATTCCTTTGGAGAAAAGAGATGAGTATTTAAAAAAACAAAATTTACCAGATTACAGAGAAATAAAGACAGATTATGAATGGACCTATAATAATAAGAGAGGTTTCTGAAGCTATAAAAAAAGTTAAATCGGGAAAAGTGCCTGATGGATTATCAGGTTCTTATTATAAATACTTTGAGGATGAACTTTTACCACCTTTGAAAAACACAATGAATTTTATCTTATAGGGAAGAAAAATTCCTAAGACTTGGAATGACATAAATATAGCATTAAAACCTAAGGAAGGACAGAATTTGACAAGAAATTATAGATCAATATCACCACTTAATAATGATTATAAATTGTTCACAATGATCCTAGCTGATAGACTGAAAATAATTTTACAAGAATTTATTCATGAAGATCAATATGGGTTTTTGCCTAAAAGACAATTAAAAATTATGTTAGAGCTGTGCTGGATATTCTAGAATATTTTGAACAGCATAATGAAAAACAAGTTGCATTAATTTTTTTAGATGCAGAGAAAGCTTTTGACAATTTGAACTGGACTTTTTATTTAAAATTTTGGAAGAACAGAACTTTGGTGAGAACGTTACAAAATGGATAAAATCGATATATACTTCACAGAAGGCACAAATAATTGTCAATGGAGATTTAACTAAACCATGTGAGATACAAAAAGGAACAAGTTGTCCATTGTCTCCTCTTCTGTTTATTTTAGTTCTAGAAATATTCAATAGAGATATAAGACAAGATGAGAGGTCGTAAATATTTAAAAAGAGACTTATAAACTAAGAGCTTTTGCAGATGACCTGGTGCTGGTTTTAGAAAATCCTTTAAAGGGAATTGAAATATTAATGGGAAAATTAAAAGAATTAGATTAACATGAAGACAAAGATGTTGACAAAAAATATTAAGATTCAAGATCAAATAGATCTGATGAATAAAACAGGTTTTAAAGTTGAGAAGATTAAATATTTGGGTATTAATATGACAAATATGAATTTTATGTTGTTTCAAAATAACTATGTTAAGACCTGGGATGAAATTTAAAAAAGTATATCAAGATGGGAGAAAACACAATTGTCATTGTTAGGTAGAATTTCTGTGATTAAGATGGATGCTTTGCCTAGAATGTTACTTTTATTCCAGACAATAACCATTTGGACATCTGATGTACCAATTAAACAATGGTAGACAGATATATCTAAATTTGTGTGGCAAGGAAAAAACCCAGGAGTTAAATATAAGGTGTTATAAGATGTAAAAGAAAGATAATTGGGTTTACCTGATTTGAAATTGTACTTTGCAGCTTGTTGTTTAGTTTGGATGAAAGAATGGATGTTGCTGAGAAACAGAAGGCTTTTGGAGTTAAAAGGACATGGCTTGAGATTTGGTGGCATGGATATTTATGATACAATAAAGCTAAGGTTAATGTAGATTTTAAAAATCATTTTGTTAGACGTGCCATACTGAGAATATGAACATATATAAACCTAGGTTGTACCCGAAAATACCTTTGTGGCTGACAGCACAAGAAGCATTTTATAGAAGAGAAATGATAACTAAGCATAAATGGTTAACTTACTCTGACATACTAGAATTTTGTCAAGCAGAATGTAAAATAAAATCAAGAGAATTGCTGGTGGTAGAAGGATATACATGTCAATGGTTTTCTTATGTATAATTATTAGAAAGATTTAAAGTAGATAAAAGAACTTTTGGTTCTGAACATTGTAAGACTGAATTTGAAACAGAATTGTGTACACGTTATTGCCAAAATGTATAAATTTTTATTGAAATTTAAAACAGAACAAGTGAGAGTATGTATGATAAAATGGGCTAAAAACTTTGGTTATAATATACAAATGGAACAGTGGAAGAATATGTAGTTGAAAAGACTGAAATTGACATTATGTTATAGTCTTAAAGAGAATTTTTATAAAATGATGCATCGTTGGTACATGTCATCAGAAAAAAATGTTTAGAATGTCTACTTCAAATTTATGCTAGAAATGTAATCAACAAGAAGGGACATTTTATCATGCTTGGTGGACATGTAAAAAAGCTAGAAAACTTTGAACTAAATTATATATAATAATACAGAAGATTTTAAAGATTAATATACAGTTGAAACCAGAGACTTTTCTTTTGGGACTGATGGATAAACAGTTGGAAAAAAATCATGGAACTTGATTTCCATGGTACAATAATTTCACTGCAGTTGTCATATACAAATTGTATGCACAAAGGTAGAAAGATTTGACTTTACCCACAATGGAGGAATGGATGGTGAAGATAATGGAACTTGCTGAGATGGCCAAATTGACAGCTTTAATTAGAAATAAGACATTGTCTAAGTTTAATACTGACTGGAAACCCCTTATTGACTTTTTGTGTGAAACGGAAAAAAATGAAATGATGATGTATGGTTTTGATTATTAAAAAAAAATAGATTTCAGAAAAAATGTAAGCAATGCTGTAACCATACAGTAAGAGGTTAATTTACATTTATAACTGTTGTAAAAGAAAATTGGAAATCATTTATTTTTATTTTTTTTCTTTTCTGCAATATTAGCTTTGTTCTTTTCTTATCTCCTTTTTTCTTCTCTCTTCATTTTAAATATTAGTTCTTGTTAGTTTTTATCTTTCTTTTTCAATTTAGAGAAAGAGAATTTGAGAGGTACTTAGCAACAACTCTCTACTGCAACATGCTACTACTAAAGAAAGTCATTTAAGCATAATTAAAGAATTAAATTTATCTTGAACAATTTTTGAGACTGGACACTCATTCCATCAGAACAGCCAATTCTAAAATACTAGGACAGCCTCTCCCAACCTGTCAGCTTCCAGATGTACTGCATTATAATTTCTATAACCACAGCTACCAAGACAGCTGTCAATGGATTATGGGAGTTATTATCCAACAGCACATATGGAAAGTGTTGCATAAAAAATCCTACTGTACTTTTAAACTACTGAACTTCTACTGCACTCTTAAAAGAACCACAGATCTTTGGGTGGTGTTCAGGTATGAGGTAGCATTCACGTTAAAAACATAAAACAAGAAACAAAATCACTAACCAGTTCCACATTTTGCTTCATAGTTGCTAAATCCCTGAGACTTCCTCATACTCTCAGAGGTATAATATGACAGATATTACTGTCTGAGAATTTTCTGTGTCCTTGGCATTTTCACAACTATTGCCTTGACTTCCATTGCCTCAAAAATTTTTTTAAAAATTACTGACAGAAGATGAAAGCTGAAACATTTAAGCAAGCATTTTTAAAGCTGATTCACAATTTCCCAGTTAAGTTCAAAGTGTAATAAAAATGCTGTTTTGAAAGCAGCCGTACTGAGGAATAGTCACGGGAATGGCTCTTTTCTGAAAATGATAGGAAAAATCCAGACAAAGGTGGCAATTCTTAATATTGTTTAGATGCTTTTCTGAAGGATATGCTGGCAACCATGAATCATGCTCATATGTATCTTGACAATGCTCTACATATGACTGTCTTTGAAGATTATTTGGAAGCTACAGCTGGTGCAAAATACAACAGCTGTTCTGTTAGCAGCGACAGCCGTTTTTCACATATAACACCAGAGATTCTGAGGGTTCCCTCCAGTAGCAGCTGGGGGAAGGAACCAGAAGTCAGTGCTTCCCAATAATGGCCCCTACCTTCTGGAATAGCCTTTCCATGGAGATGCACATGATTTCCTCCCTCTTAATATTTAGGAGGGAAGTTCAAATGGACCTGTTTAAAGTTTAAGATCTTATCAGTTGTGGGACATAAATAACAATCATAGTAACATTTATAGCATTATTATTTGTTATATACATTTAACATATTATATAAGTTGCAAGGAGTCTCTTGGAAAATGTGGCATTATGAGTATAAAGGAAATAAACAACATATACTTCAAATATGTAGAAAATGTTTGTTTATTTATTTATTGGATTTCTCCCCCGCCCATCTCCCCCACAATAGGGGACTCTGGGTGGCTTGCAAAGACATTAAAACTATAAATATACAGTAGAGTCTCGTTTAACCGACCTTCGCTTATCCGACATTCCGACTTATCCGTCACCCCGAAAAAAAACACCACGCATAAATCGGCGACGAGAAAAGTGTGCCGCTTGTTTGCGAGCGTGAGTGTACTTTCTTGTTGCTCCTGACGGTGGCGTTGCAAAGCAAAAATCGATTGCAACAGGCGTAGCAGATCCGTTTTTTTTTTTTTTTTACCGCACTCAATTGTTACTGTGTGTTTTCTGACATTTTCGCTTATCCGACATTCCGACTTATCCGTCACCCCGAAAAAAAACACCACGCATAAATCGGCGACGAGAAAAGTGTGCCGCTTGTTTGCGAGCGTGAGTGTACTTTCTTGTTGCTCCTGACGGTGGCGTTGCAAAGCAAAAATCGATTGC